CCTTTCTTCACTAGGGCCCTCCCCCCCCCCCCTTCTTCCTCGGGGTTTCCCCGCCCCCTCCCCCCCCCCCCCAACAGCCGAAGACGTAGACGAAGGCGAGCCTTTTCCGGCACGGGAAGAAGCGGTGGCGGCGGCCGCAGCATCACCGGGTCTGCCGAATGCGGACACGTGCCGCCGGAGCTGTCGGATGGCCCCCTCGACGCTCATGTTGCGGTGCAGGTGGTTCCGCACCAGCCGGAGGTGGACCACTTCCGCCACGCCTCGGATCTAGTTGTTGTTGTTGTTGTTGTTGTTGTTCGCCGTCGTTGTCGTCGTCGTGTGGTTGAGAAAAACCAATTAACAAGAACAAATGCCAAAGAGGACACTCGTCATCGTGTCAATGAAACAAAAGTATTATGTGCCAAGGACAGCTTCGGCAAAGGGAGGACACATCTCAACCAGGGACTTCTGGCCCGTTTCGTCTCTTGGTGTCGAAGCTGGTCGAACGGAGGGGAGGAAAACACGAACACTTGAAGCAAGCCCGCAAAGGTGAGGCAAGAAGAAGAAAAATTCGAGAGACAGCGAAAAAGACGTGTCAAGAAAGAAACGCTGTGATTCGGGACGCCAATATCAGCAACACGTGCCTACCGCACACCAGGTACTACAGCTTCACAGCGAAAGCACCAAAACAGAACATCAATAATAGATCAATCGCGCAACATCGAATCTTCCCTCTAGCAGTCTCACCTGCTCCATCGGGTCCGCTCCCCCACGAAGGAATGCCCCCCCCAGCGTTCCTCTATCTGCGTCGCCCCTTCCACCCTGAAACCGTCCCCCGTCCCGCGGCACCATGTCGCTCAGAAGAGCCGACACCTTTCGTTCAATTTGCGAGAGAGAACAACGTGCCGCAAGTGCATCGTACATGAATAGGGAGGGGAGGCAGCGGTTAAGCAGTTGTTAGCAACCAGCACCGATGTTGGCAAATTAACATACACGAAAATGGACGGTACCGCTTGCGTTACCAAAAGCATCAACCACATGAGAGACAGACCAGGGTGCACAGGCTGAGCGTGTATTAGGAGACGATGTGGGGACATAAATCAGCTCAATTGCCGTTGTACTGCAACCGGTGCCGCTCAGGATGCTTTGGTCTCAGCTTCCAAAGGACCCATCAGAACAAAGACACCGCCGTTAACCCCTCCCCCCTCAATTCTCCCACCGCGCCAAAAGGGAAAAAACAAAAGCAATCGCACGCGCGTACACGTACAAGCGCATGCCACGCAAGACGCATCGTAGGTACCTCTTGGTAGCACAGCAAGCTCCTATCCACGAGGCCCTGCATCTCGTGAAGAACTCCGAGCTTAAAGTACAGCCTCGTCAGGAGCGGGCGGTATAGTCGCTGCGTAGGCACCAGCACCTTTTCCCATCTTGGGGATTCCGCAAAATGTCGCAGACAGGCAGGAGGGGAGCGGCTGGATTAGGGTTGGGATAAGCTTGCGCGGGCGGGGCGGTGTTGTTTAGGGATACCCCTTTGCACTGCTCCCCGAAGATGTACTAAGATGAGGCAAGGGTGCGCTGTCTTACGGAAGTGGGCTTCTCCGACCATTCCAACCCCTAGACCAGAACTCCTGAGACTAGCAATCTTCCCCCACCAAAGACCGGGTGTGCCCCCGAAGGGAAAGGACCACTGCTACCGCTGCTGCTGCCGTAAGCGCCGTGCGCTCAACAGGTCACAATCGCGGGAGACAACCACCACTTGCACACTGCAGCACGGAGGTCTGAATGAGATATTTCCCTCGACACCCTGGTCAACTTCCCGTAGGCATTGCCACTTAAATAGGATAAACTGAGTAATTATTGTATACTTGTGTACACGGGGTTCAGTAGCACTGCTGTGTGAAACCGTCATCACCTTCGAAGGCGCGAGATGTGCGAGGCGTAGTGGGCGACGGCCAAGTCCTTGGCCGCCTTCGCGATGCGCCGCACCGAGGGGGGATTGCTGTGGGAAGCCAGGTCGGGCTCGCCGATCATGAGCACCATCCTGGCGTCGATCTCCGCCCGCCTGCGGAGGCCCAGCGCGCGCTCGTCGGCCACGTCCCGCTCCTCCCTGCCCCCGCCCTGCCCGGCCTCCGCGCCGGCCCGTACGAGTACCAACAATACCTGCTCGAGAGAGAGAGAGAGAGAGAGAGAGACAGACAGACAGACAGACAGACAGACAGAGACACAGAAAGACAGGCAGAGACAGAGGGTGAGTGGTCCAACCATGGGGTACGTTAAAAGGGGGACGAAGTTAAACATGGCGACGACAGCGTGCTGCACGGGCAAAGTGATCGTCACCTAAAAGTGCACAGCAGGCATGCGTGCATGTGGCGCAGGCGGAAAGGTACCGGCAGTAGTATATAGAGAACATGCGTGTTGATGATCGCATCTCTGTTCTCACACCTGAAGGCCCGATGCTGCAACTCGCAGCGGTGGGTGTTACTGTCATCTACTCGCCGCACTGCCAACTGCGTCGCATCCACTGCTGTTTGTCAGTACGAGTAGTCGGTTGCAGGGGCATCCAGCGGGTGTCGCATGGGCTGGCGGAGACACGGGAGTATCAACGAGTACCACAGCAAAGCAGCAGAGCTGCGGGGCCAAAGCAATCGCGTGGCCAAATGATAGTGAAAAAAATACCAACCGTAGTGCTGCGCCACACAAAGCAACGCACACAGACCTCCCGTACGGCCAACCACATTTGGCACCTCCCCGCACCTTGACATCCCGCGCCGCCATGTTAGCCACGACGCTCCTCAGATCTCCGACGATCTCATCCTCGGTGGCCGCCCAATCCTCCGCTCCCGCCGAGACGTCCACCGAGGCAAGGTACACCAGCGAGCCCGGGAGCTCTCGCGTGTGCTTGTGCAACCAGCCCCGCTTCACCAGCCCCTTCGGGAGGGCGCTGTCCACCACCCTGAGCCCGTCGACCCCGCGCCAGGCGCCGCCGCTCGGCTTCTTCGCCGGGAAAGCGGCAGCAGTGCCTCGAGGCAGGCCGAGGAACCGTACCTCGGGGCCGATGGTCTCCGCCTCCGCCGCAAGGAGGGCGTCGATCACGAGCTCGTTGGCCGCCGCCGCCGCCGCCGCTGTCGACGCGTCTAGTTCTTCCGCGTCGCCTCCTCCCCCGGCGGCGTCGGTGTTGGTGTTCCCCGCGGCGGTGCCGCTGCCTGCGCCGGGAGCCCTCTTGTTGATGAGGGGGTTGGCGTAGGCATGGGCCATGATCCCCACCAAAGGGCGGGGGTCCTCTAGCGCCTCTCGCTGATCAACCTGCATCTTATCGACTGCGTGGCGTTTTACACGGCCTTCTGTATCCTTGGAGCTGCTTGCAGCAGCAGCAGCAGCAGCAGCACGAACGGCACCGCCTGCGTTGTTCTGCCTACTGCACAGCACAGCAGGAGGACGGAGGAAGGAGGAGGAACAAAACGGGGGGGGGGCACGCGAACAAGCAATCGATTTTGTCCATCCTTGCATCCTTCGAATTCATTTTTTAAGTCGAAATATTGTACTCTGCGCTGCTCCTTGGGAGTTCAAGGAGACAACTTGCGCCGCACCCCTGAAGCGGGGAGAGCGAGCGCACAAATTGCTGCGGTGGCAGTTGCAGTGGCAAGCGGTGGAAAGGCTACATAGCGGCCTGCTGCTGAGCCAGTGTGCGTGTGCTGTCCTTGGATGCTGTTGCTTGCCTTCCCGAGCTCCGAGGGCTCCTCCTGCTGTCTTGGGAGCGGAGATTGGCCGCTGGACCCGCACGAGATACTCGTGCACCCGCAAGATCTGGAGCACCTACGGGTGCCGGGCTTCGGCTACGTTGCGGTCAACCGCAACAATGGCAGCGGCGACGCCGACAGCAGCAGGAGCAAAGGTGGCCGTCGCCGTCGTTCAGCAGCAAAAGTAGAACACAGTAATACTGCAGCACAGGAGGAGGAGGAGGAGGAGGAACGCCAGAAGCCACTCGCCTATTGCAGAGCGGTTCCAGACGACTCTCTGGCTCCGGGCGAGACTCGAGCTCCCGCGTGGCTCTTGAGTGCCGCGGGAGTACAGCCCCGGCAGCACCTATCGATTTCTCGCCCCTCCGAGGTTCAAGAGGCTGAGAATTTAGCCGTGCCCTTGGGAGGGGATGACCAACAACAGCACCATCTGCCCCGTGTCCGTGTTGGTCTGGCCCTCGAGCACCGACAGGGGGAAGAGGACGCCTCGGCAGGGAACCGCCCATCTCCTGCCGGCAACGGGATCATTTCGCAAAACGTGCGCAGCGGTGGTTATGTTAGCAAGTGCGACAGCCGCGCTATCGCGAGACGCGTTTCTGGGTGCATGGTGCGCGACGGGTCGCTTCTGGCTGCCGAGGTTCTGGGCGAGACGGTCCTTATGCGGGTCATGGGCATCTCTTGCGGCAACGACGACGGCGGTGATGCATCCCCCGTCAAGCGGCCTTTGATAATCAACTCGGGCACCAAGGTTGCGTTGGTGGGACCACAAGAACAGGAGAGATCTCGGAGTTCACCCGTTTCGTGGGACGGGCAGCCGGTTTCGCCCGGAGGGGAGCAAAGCCGCCGCCGCCGCCCAAGGCGCCGGCCCCAACAGCAAGCTACCAAGGGCTGCACAGAAACCTGGGCTCGGCAGGCACCAGGCTTGGAGGCTGCTCTGAGCGAGCTCCGTGCCCTTGTCCTCCTGTCTGTCGGCGGCAGCAGCGGCGGTGCCTGGTCAGGCGTCCTACCCGCGGGGGTCGCCCTCTGCGGCCCCTCTGGCGTCGGCAAGACCCTCTCGCTCGACCTCCTCGCCGAAGACCTCAGCGAAAACCACGGCGTCCACGTCATTCGCCTCCTCGGGCCTCAGATCCTGGCCGGCTCCGGCCAAGGCGGAAGAGGCGGCGGCGGCGGCGGCGGCGGGACGAGAGCCTCGGCAGCGAGCTCGCCGTTGCAAGGGCCGCTCGGCCTGGCCCTCTCCGAGGCCCGCGCCCGCGCTCCGTCCGTCCTCGTCTTCGACGAACTCGACGCCCTGTTCGATGCGTGCGGCGGCGGCGACGAGGGCGGAGACACCGCCCCTCTGGGCGAGGGGGCGAGGGCGAACGCGGCGCTGCTCGAAGCGCTGGACCGCGCCTCCGCGATCAAAGGAGTGGCCGTGCTGGGCGCGACTCGCCGTTCGCCGGGCGGGAAGGGGGGCGCCGGGTGGGTGGGGCTGGAAGAGGGCGAAGGTGGAGGAGGCGACGGTGCCGCCCTGCCCGCGGCGTTCCGGAAGCCAGGCCGATTCGATAGATGCGTGGCGATCGGACCCCCTACGCAAGCGCAGCGCGAAGGGATCCTTTCTATGGTTCTGTCGACAGTGGCAGGGGCGGCGGAGTTGGAGCTTGAGCCGCTTTCAACAGCCCTTCAGGCGCGGCCTATTGCTGGAAGTCCGCCCGACGAGATGTCGTCGGGAAAACCCGTCGTAATCGCTTCAAGAGATGCACCGGACCTGGAGCCGGAGCGAGAACCGAGAACAATCTTTGCCGATAAGGACGACGCTCGAGGCGGGCGAGGAGAGGGTCGAGGTTCTTCAGGCAGAGCAGAAAGAAAGACGGAAGACAGCAACAGCGAGTCAACGGAGGCGGGCGCAGCGGCGGCTGCCATCGCGGAAGAGTGGGCCAAGCGCTTGAGCTCGCTGACCCCCGGCATGGTCGGGGGCGACCTGGAGCGTCTCGTTCGCACGGCGCGGGCACGCTCCTTGCAGCGCGGGCGGGACCTGGCGGGACAACAAACAACACAGCCCTCGCCCCCCAGGTTTTTGATGTGGGAAGACGTGATGGCAGCGGTTGCCATCACCGTGCCTCGGTCACTGCAGGGCTTAGACGTGGCATCTGCCGGCAGCGGCGGTGAAGGTGGCGGCGGCGGCGGCGGCGGCAGCGGTCGCGGCCCAACGTGGAGATCTGTCGGCGGTTTCTCGAAAGCGAAGCGTCGCCTGCAGCGGCTGGTGCAGTGGCCGTGGCTCCACCCCGAAGCGTTCGCACGAATGGGGGTGTCCGCGCCCGCCGGGGCGCTGCTATATGGGCCGAGCGGGTGCGGCAAGAGCCTCGTGGCGCAGGTGTTGGCGACGGAGTGCCTGGCGAATTTTTTGTGGGTCAGGTCGTCGGAGCTGCTCTCTAGGTGAGATAAATACTTACTACCTTGCTACGAGCGAACGAAGAAGGCTATCATGCCTTCCAAGGTAGGAAAATCTTGACGGCCCGAGCCTGTGGCTGGTTTGATGCTTCCTCGGCTTCAACGGCATGTATCCCGCCGAGAGTCTTTCCGTCATGGCTCTTCTGTCTTGCCTGGTAGGTTCCCCCGCCGACCTCAGCTCCTATCGGCAAAGCAACTCCCTGGAGTCGTCTTATCTTCGACTCCGGATGATTGTTGCACCCTTACCGCAACCTCGTGAACGCTCTAGCCATCCGTTTAGCTCGAATTCCTACAGCAGTGACCGGGCGACGAAGCGCGCGAAGCAGCACCCTCCCGACCCATCTCATGCATGGCACAAGACGTGCAGCGGCGCACCATGCCTGCTCCATTTTTCTTCGACCTCCTCCACCCTGCCCTCCTCTGCATCTGTACTGTGTACAGCAGCAAGTCCTACCCTCGTTATGAAAGGCGTGTTCTAGATGGCTACAGCCGTGGTTCGCGCTGCACCTTTTTCTGCCCCTCATTTTGCCTCTCTGATTCGTCAGGTACTTGGGCGAGACCGAGGCCAAGCTGAGGGCCCTGTTTTCGAGGGCCCGCGCCGCGGCGCCCTGCATCCTCTTCCTCGACGAGCTGGACGCGATCACGGCGAAGCGCGGCGACGGCGGCGGCGGCGATGAGGGCGAGGGGGGCGGAGGGGCAGGGAGCGTCCACGCGCGCGTCCTCAGCACGCTGCTCAACGAGATGGACGGAGTCGCTAGCGGCGGCGGTGGCGGCGGCGGCGGCACGTCGGGTTCGTCGCCGTCGCCGACGGGGGGGGGAGGAGTTCTCGTCCTCGCAGCGACAAACCGCCGGGGCGCCCTCGACGCCGCGCTTCTCAGACCGGGCCGGCTGCACGAGAGCGTGGAGCTGGGCTTCCCTGGGAGGGAGGACAGGGAGGGGGTGCTGAGGGTCCACGCGGGCCGCTTGCCCCGCGGGGCGGCTGGGATAGACCTGGCGCGGCTCAGCCAGGACGACGTGTCGGGCGGGCTCACCTGTGCCGATCTCGAGGTGATATGGTAGCGAATAGTGGAGGCGGGATGGTTTTGGGAGACACGGAGGGGTGTCTCCGACCTTTGTTTGGTTGTGCGTGTGGAAGTTGACGTGTGTAGGTTACCGATAGTGCCCTGCCCGGGTTCTTGTCTCCCGGGAGGTGTTTGGGTGGGGGAAAAAGTGGGCGGATCTGTTGTATACCTTCAATATTTTATTGCACCTTCGCTGCAATTGGGGCATAGGGATGAGTTCCTCGCTCGCTTTTGGATCGAAGGGCATCAAACGAACCTAGGAGCTTCGCTGATTGTCGTATCATACCGTGATTTGTCCCACGACCTCCCCCTACGGCGGTGGCCGTCGTAAGTCGAAAGCTCTGCTGTTGCCATTCACGTACATGCGGCGCGAAGCCAAGGGCGGTGGTGTTATCATCGCTCGGAGTTCCCGAGACAACCGCCTGAAAAATCGCAAGATTTCCTCTGTAGATATGTAAATGAGCAAATACGAGTTGGATATACCGTGTTGCGCACTTTGGACAAGTGGTGAAAGCAGAGTCGCTAGACTAGGCCAGGATGATGTGAACGGTGGCTACGGAACACCAGACGACAGGAGGCGGCAGATGGTGATATACGATCCACAAGTGAAAATGGCAGCAGCGCCGAGAACGCCCAAAACGTTGGCGGTATCTCTTGAAGGAGGAGGGAGCGGCCTCCGTCTCCATCTAGACCCGTGTTCAATTGCCGAAGACGAGAAGAACAGTAAAAGAGTAGCCTGTTGTAAGAGCCACAGAAATTGACGTGTCCTGTACTCCCCCCCCCCGTATTGGCAGGCAGCTTGTCGGGAAGCGGCGATGATGGCAATGAGAGAGGATCTACACGGCGCGAGAGAGGTACGTTGTCCCTGTTGATTGTGTCTGGTTGTCAGCCTCTTCCTCATGGAGTGCTGAGCACTTTTGCGGCACAGCCACCTCTGCCCTTCCTCCCGCAGAGTCAATCTCAGCTTTTCTCGATACCTCTGGTGATCGAATCTTCCGGGTGGCGAAGTCGAGCAAGCCTGCACCAAACATTTCATCCTGCAGTCAGTGCGGTGAACATGATTGGGTACGTTTGGTGGTAAATATCTTCTACCAGCGTGAACAGACACCGTCACCAGTGGAGAACTGGTGTTACGAGGTTCATTTCTCCCAGATCTATGTAATCAGCATACTTGCGTCTTAAAAAAAAAGAATCAGGAAAACCTTACGCGTACGGAGAATCGAACTCCGGGCAAGTGCTTGGAAGGCACTTATGTTACCACTACACCACACGCGTCAGTCAACGTGCAGGTGGGCAGGGACCGCGCCTCGAGAACACCAAGACTAGAAGTTCTTATAGTCCGTGTTTGATGCGTTTTATCCAAGAAGTCGCTACAGACAAAGAGCGCTTCTTACGCTTGCCCCTGTTGTACTTCTCCGAGGCGAAAAGTTAAGATTCCGAGCAAACGCCTAACCCCGTTGGTGTCCGTCGTTCCTGCCGCTGGTTGCCGTTTTCGCCGTGGCCGTGGTAGCAGGTGTGCCCCGAACACCTCCGCAAGGCCTTGAAGGATCGGGTCGCCGGACGCCTCAGAACCCGAAGGTTCACCTTCTCCATGGGACAGAATCCCTAGAGGGTGGCCTACGTAGTGCAAGAGGTCCCTTTTGGTAATTGAGGGCTGCGCTGAGCTTTGTGCGCAGCGAAGGAGCTGAGATGATTTTTTCCTATTTTCCTTTGTCTAATACCTGGTATGTACCTCTAGCGCCTCCTTTACACGTCCGCTTTAGCGAGGATGCACGCTCTTCTCCGCAGCATGTGATTTTACACCACCCTTTGTTTTTTCCTGAGTATTTTCCGAAAGTATTTCTCGAAAGAAACATGTTTGAATCACACCCAGGACAGCGGTTGTAACATCGATATGGTGTCGAAACAATTCTTGTTACATCAGGGCGCCTATGCCTCCAATAGACGCAGATAGGTATTTTTGACCTAGGTACCGGAAACATATATACTTCGCATCTATTTGTTTTGTTGTGCCAGGCGTGTTCGGTCAATTGCTACAAGATATTGCCTCAGGACAGTATACTCCAGAATCTATCTCTGATCATCATGGGTGACGATGCATCCACGCAGACAAGTGGTAACGATTTACGATTTTTTTGTCCATGTTTTTGATCACACACGAGACTCGAGATTAGATTCAAAAATGTGTTCGAAATGAATCGAAACACATATGTAGATAGCCGTTGTTGCCGCTTATGAACTCAACGCTACGTTATCCCGGACTCTTCTTCCTATCAAGGAAATTAGTTCCGATATTTTTCAAAAAATTAAAAAAGTTTAGGATGCGAAAGCTGAACACATCCATCCCCTACAATAAGCACCCCACCACACACCAACAAAAAACACCACACCGCTACCTGTTTGTCGGCCGTACTCCGCGTACTTATCGGGTATTGTTTGTGTAGTGTATTAACTTCAGACGGTGAGGCAACGCCCGTACCCAGGGCGCTGTCGTGCTCAGAGAGGAGGAGTGGCAGCAGGGCTGCTGCTAGGCCCTTCCCCCGCCGGCGACTTTTTCTTTTTTTTTTTCGGCGATTCACGATTTTTTTCGGCAAATACTACTGATGGAAAAAAACCCTTTTTCGGCGACATTCGGCGATTCAGTATGTTTTTTCGGTGATTCCTGTTTCATTTTCGGCGATTTTCGGCGATTTGCTTATTTTCTTCGGCTGCTACCTAATGCTATTTTTAACTTCAGCGACTTCATCGAAGCGACTTTCGGGACGCCTACATGTACTTCTAGTACACACAAACGAGCGGGTCGCGAGGCTGTCGACTGTTGGACTGCTGCAGAGGTCACCTGCCGGCGATTAGCGAACGAAGTAGTTTGCCCTTTTATTTCTTTGCTAGAGACAGCATAACAGGATGCAATATTCCTAACCTGCACTCAACATCAAAAAAATTCTGAAATAGGATAGGATGACGCGCGACTTGGGGGCAACAAAATGTTTTGCTCCTACGACCTACGACACAATAAAGACATGAGCATTAAATTTACAAATCACAGGTCTTCAGTCGCTGTCTTCATCGCTGTCATCGCTTTCGTCGCTACCGCCGCCGCCGTTGTTGGCATCTGTGTGTGGCGCTTTCCTCCTTCTCTTCTGCTATTTTGGACCCTGCCCCTGTTGTACTTGAGCAGTGCGGTCGCTGTACACGCTCTCTTCTTGTCGTTCATTAAAGCAACACCGCAGGATGGAAAACACTCGTTCCATGAACGCAGAGGATGGTTGCAAAAGCGGCATCGATTTTGAAGTTTCGGCGGAAGTGGTGCCACCAACGCTGTGTTGGCGTGCAGAGAAGAACCTCTGAACCAGCAGAAGAGACCCGCGACGAAGCTCTTGCACCGGAAGCAGGTGGTGCGGCTTTGCCGCTGCCGCTGCTGCCGCTGCCAGTGCCGCTGCTGCCGCTGCCTCTGCTCCCGCCGCTGCCGCTGCCGCTGTCGCCGCTGGTGGCAGCCGCGGCACTTACTTGTCTTTTGGCGGACAAATTGCACCTCATTGTCCGAATCCCCTTCGCTTTCACTGCTATTATCCCACCTACTATTAGAGCAGGCTTGCATACCGCTAAGAGGCGACGACATAGCACCGCCGTTCAGCCGTGTGTGAAGCTGTGCAGCTGTACAGAGCTACAAAGCTATGACATGTAATAACATGTTATTATATGATATGTCATAGCCTTCTGCTTTGTAGAGCTGCGAAGGAGGTACAGGGGGCACCGTGAATTTAATCGGCGACAATCGGCGACATATTTTTCGATTCGGCGGAGCCCCCTTCAGAATCGGCGACTTTTTTTTTTTTCCGGCGATTTTTTTTTCAGCTGTTTTTCCGGTGACATTTTTCAGAAATCGGTGTTTTCGGCGATCGCCGGCGGGGGAAGGGCCTAGCTGCTGCACACAACAAAAGGGGGCCCCGGTGCATCATCACCGTACCCCTACCTAAAAGGTTCTACACCATCTGCGTCACACTTGTACGTACGGCTAACATATCCAAACCATGTCCGTAGACCCACGAACACCCTCCCTGGTTCTTCACGCAAGTGACTAACCATCAGTGGGGCAAAAACACCCCGGATACATCAATAAAATGCCAATACGGTGGTCGAGGGGAAACCCGGCGCCCGGGCAAAACCCCTCGAAAGTAAATCCCATCCAACACAAACCATTGCTATCACGGCGGATCACAACGGCCGCACTTATCAGGAAGGCCAAGGCGAAGACAAGAATGCGAGGCAAGCCTCCTACTCCTGCCATTGGGACACAGCCCGCGACAGTAATGCATCTTTCCCCGCATGGTATACATGACCTTCCCCAAGCGCTAGAAAATCCTACAGAAGCTCCGGCAAATTCATCAGCTTTTTCCGGTGGTACTACTGCAGGTTGCTCTTGCTAAGAGCCTTGGTGAGCATGTCTGCATGTTGCTCCGACGTCGACACAAACTTGATCGAGACGTCACCCGACCTAAACAATCCACGAATGAAGTGGTACCGCACGTCGATGTGCTTGCTACGCGCTGAGCTAAGGGGGTTCTGCACCAAAGCCATGGCCCCCTGATTGTCCTCAAGGACGTGAATGCTACCGCCGCTGGTCTCTGGGGCAATAAACGAAAGCACTGCACGCACAAACAAAGCTTCTTTCACACCCTCTCCGGCAGCAATGTACTCTGCCTCCGTAGACGACAAAGATACGATAGCTTGCGTCTTGCTACCGTGGCTGATGACGGTTCCTCCAACCGTTGTTGCCAGCCCTGACACCGAACGTCTATCCTCAGCGTCGGCGTAGCTAGCGTCCACGTACACCGCCAGCCCCAGCCCCGATCCCCGTTTGTAGGTGATCCCGAGGTCCCTCGTCTCTTTGAGGTAGGCGAGGATCTTCCGTATCGCCTTCCAGTGCCTCTCGGCAGGGGCGTGGGCGTGGCGCGCTACCGCACGCACAGCGAACGAGATGTCCGGGCGCGAGAACGTCGACACCCACATCATGCTGCCGATGGCCTCCCTCACCGGCCACTCCCCTCCACTTTCGTCATCTCGCCTCGGTCCTAGGTCAGCACCAGGGGAAGCAGGGATGGGGGAGGTCGATTGCACATCAAAGCGATTCACGATGCTGTCAATGTACGCGGTTTGGGAGATTCTAAGGGTCCCAGCCTCTAGGTCTCTCTCAACGGCACACCCGTCGAACCACACACACTCTCCAAGGTCTTTGGTGGGGAATGCCTTGTTGAGGGAAGCGAGCAACTCCTTACAATCATCATCAGACCCAGCCACCAAAATGTCATCCACATAAATCACGATAATCATCACCACGACATCGTCTTTCATCTTGCGGAAGACGCACGGGTCCGCCTTGCACTGCTCGAACCCGTTTTCTACAAGCGTGTCGGCAGCGTGGTACCCCCACTGCCTGCCGCTCTGCTTCAAGCCGTAAATAGCACGCTCAGCCTTCACAACTTTGTGGGATTTTTCCCCGCACCCCGCGGGGAGCCTCAAGAACACATCCTCGTCTAACTTAGCGTGTGTAAACGCCTGCTTGACATCCCAGTGGTTGAGTTTCAATGATTTCTCATTGGCTACCGCAAGCATCAGTTTAATGGATGCGGATGATGGGCAAGGGGAGGATGAGTAGAAGTCCACATTCGGAATTTGCGAAAAACCCCTAGCGACCAGACGCGCTTTGAACTTCTCGATTTTCCCCTCCTTGTTCGTCTTCCAAGTAAAACGCCACTTAGAACTCACAGGTCTACGCCCCTCTGGCGTACCGTCTACGAATGAAAACGTTCCCGTGTCCAAGTGTCCATCGAACTCTTCCCTCATGGCCTGTTCCCACCCCTCTCTGTACACAGACTTGGCAACGCCGGCTACGGTCATGGGGGGGGATTCAACGTCACTCGGACGCTTGCCTATGGGGGGTTCTGTACTCAGCTCGGTCGACGCCAGGGCCCTCACGAAGGCGTCTGGAGAGTTGAGCACGAGGTCCTCCGCTCCCAGCAGGAAGTCCTCTGCCTCTTGGCGCGCGATGTTGGCCTCCTCCGCGCGCTCGCACAGCAGCGCTTGCACCGCCCTCGCCTCTAGCCCTTCCACCACGTCGACCACACACGCGAGCATCCAGTGGGTGTACTCCTCCGTGCTGGTGATGGGCAGGCTGGGCAGCCCGGCCGCCGATGCATGGCGGGCGAGCAGACCTTCGGCACTCGTTGACGACTCGTACCTCGTGTTCCGGCGAGGGTTCTCCCTGAGTCGGCGGCTGGTGAGTTCGGCCGGCTCGCCAAAGCGGGCGAGCCTCCGTTCCTCGGGCCCGCGGAGCGCCGGAATATCCGTGTCGCTGCCGCTGTCGCTGCCGCCACCGCTGCTGCTGCTGCTGCTGCTGCTGCTGCTGCCGCTGCTGCTGCTGCTGCCGCCGCCACCGCGGCTGCTGCTGCTGCTGCTGCTGCTGCTGCGGCGGTCGTCCTCGCCGCCGCCCACATCGGCCATCCCGGTCGACGTGGTAGATGGGGCGACGCTCGCGCCCTCCCTGCTCGAGGGGGCGCCATCGCCAGCGTCGCCCGCGCCCGACTCCTGGGGCGCGGCCGGCGGCGCCGCCGGCGCATCGCGCGCGGGCGGCTCCGCGGGCCCCGGGTTTGCCGTCGTGTCAAGGTGGAAACCTCCATCCTCAGGTTCTCCCTCCGCCCTCCCTCCACCGTGGCATGACGCACCCCCTCCGCCCTCGTGGCTCCCCAGTCGTGAGCTCCTCGTCCTCCTCTGCAATGGGAGGCAGCGTACATTGCTGCCGGAGAGGGTGTGAAAGAAGCTTTGTTTGTGCGTGCAGTGCTTTGGGCAACATTCAGAGAACACGGCGAGACGGTCGTGTGCCCACAGCCGCGACGGAAGGGGCGCGGGAGGGCAACAAGCAAACCAGCCCCGTGCCGCGCAGCAAGGAGCGTGGGGGGGAGCATCATACTAAAAACAACAATTGAGGCCCATAGCTGCGACGGAAGGGGCGCGGGAGGGCAACAACAAAAAATAATCTAAGGCCCCATGGCGCGTCGGACGGGGCGTGAGGGGGGGAGAAAACCGAAGCAGCCCCGTGGCGCGCCGGAAAGGGCGTGAGGGCGAACCCCGCGGCACGTCGGAAGGGGCGTGGGGGGGAGGGTACTTGCCTCGTGATGCTAAAACGGGAACTCCTTTTCTGGCGAGGCTACAGGCCGGGACGAGCGCTGGGAGGGGAGCAACACGCATCACAATGCTGGATTGGCACTTCTTTCTTGACGGTATTTGGTGTTTGATGGTATTCGTAGTGAAGTTGGTGATCCTCGTTAGTTGTCATGAGTGCACTTTGGTTGAAGAGCCAGGGAGGGTGTTCCGTGTTTCTCGGGAGGCGTTCGCGTCCACATGTTCAGTATTTTCCTGGTAGTCATTTGGTTGAAACTTCTTGATTGCCGCCAAGTGGGGCCGTTCTCTAGGTTGCGAAATGTGCAGGAATCTGGGATACTGTTGGAACCGCTGAAGGAACGTATGAGGAAAAATTGGGACATCAGTGTTGTACGTCGACGAGAACAGAGGATTGTCGAAAAATGCATGCCGGTTGTGTGTCGCTCAGAAAATGTTGGATGACTGCCTTATGCCCCGGTGCGCTGTGTTACGTCAGCGAGGGGGGGGGGCGATTTCGATGTTTGTCTGATGTTTGTTTGAAGAACAGATAGTAGCGCAGCCGCATGGTAGTTGTTTGAACCAACTCCTCAGGATAGTCTTACGCTATTGCTCACCAAGAATTGAGATAGGCCGTTGTTGGAAACAGGGTTATGATCTTGGTACGTCATGCAGGAAGAATATGATAGCACGCCGCCCACGTTTGTAGATATAGATTCCGAGCGTGGATCCTGGCGCGACTGGTATTATGCATGTACATATTGATCTTGCTCTGGTAGCGCAACAGTGACAGTATCTGGTGGAACGGTGAATATTGGTGGGGGTTTTGACCCGGAGGCCGGGTTTCCCCCTGTTATTTTCTCGCGTTGGTTTTTTGTCCGTTTGGGTTTTCGTCACATCCGGCGTGTGCATGCCCACTAGTGGTTAGTTACTAATAGCTAGCGTAAAGGACCAGGGAGGGTGTTCGTGTGTGCATGAGCGGATGAGAATATTCCAACGGGACTGTAGGGATTGGCTACGCAGATAGGAATTGATAGTCCCCTGGGTTGGTTTCACGGTTGATCCACGGGGCTCGACCCTGCGGGAGTGCTTGCTGTGTCGTGGCACTCTCTCTCTCCCGCCGCGTCCTGATCGTGTCTGCTGTCCTAAATACAAGTGATACCATCATCTCCAACACACTTACAAGGGTATACTAACACTCTAGAGTGTCTGTCGGCCGTACTCCGCGTACTTATCGGGTATTGTTTGTGTAGTGTATTAACTTCAGACGGTGAGGCAACGCCCGTACCCAGGGCGCTGTCGTGCTCAGAGAGGAGGAGTGGCAGCAGGGCTGCTGCACACAACAAAAGGGGGCCCCGGTGCATCATCACCGTACCCCTACCTAAAAGGTTCTACACCATCTGCGTCACACTTGTACGTAACATATCCAAACCATGTCCGTAGACCCACGAACACTACCAACCCGGTCACATCAGATGAGTGCAACCGAACCAAAACCAGGTGCAGAATCGCCAGGCAGTGGTGCTCCAGAAGACTTGCTTCCTGCTGGGGGGACAGAGGTGCCACCCCTCCGACAAACAGCCACGACGAACCCAGAGGCTGCCTCCCTCAGTTTTCCCGAACATGTCACAGAGGCAGTCAAAACGGCGATCATCGGATTCAAACCCCCTGCGGAACGTGCCATCGCCACACTCGAGGGTGGGAACAAGGCAAATAGGTCCATCATCAACTTCTATGGGGTGAGGCTTGAACTGCTGCCCCTGCAGGAAGGACGGCGGAAGCAAGAATGGGCTTGCCTTGCCTCCCAGGCGTGCCGAGCGAGTGGCAAGAGACTGAAGATTTTCTCGTACCAAACGTCGGGAGCGACGACGCACCTGAAAGACACGCATGGGATCGGGGGTGCGACATCAGCCGAGAGCACGAAGAGGTACATACAATAGTCCCAGGCCGATGTATGTGCAGGTTGTGTTGTAGCATATATCAGAGCGGGCGTGCGCGAGAGCATGCATGCGTGTGTTGCTGTTGACGATGTGATCGTGCTTTTTGGTCGCACCAAACGCACACACACGCCCGCTGTTGTACACACAACCTTTAACTTGATGCGCACAGGCAGTGCCTTGGTTCGACAAGATAGCCCCCTTTCCGTGTGTGCGGTTGCTGTTCCAAATACAGGAAACACGATGAGTTGACGGCGAAAGGAGACGGCGCCGAATGTCCCCGCTTTCTACCAAGACGACCCGTCACGGTAGTACACACTCGCGTTCATCAAGAGCTTCATCATCGGTGCGGGAATCCGTATCAGCGTAGTGGAGAACGACTACTTCCGGGCATGTCTGTCGGCTTTTTGCGTGGACACCTTTGAGGTCGATCGTCTCACTACTTCAGAGGCGAGTAGTTGCCATAAGTTTTGCTTTTTATGAGCTCAGCGCCAACCAGTTCAGTGTGGAGAGCGCGGTTTCGTGCATGTCAGCCGTCCACGTGTTCTTCCTCATATGTTTTTAGAATACTTTTGTTGTGATGGCTTGAAAGTGAATCCGCCAACACCTGTTGAGCTACCAACACCAATACCTATCGGGAGCACCAATACCTATTGGAGCATCCAATATATCCACCGTACTTATTGGACAACAATAATACTTGTAGACATATTGGAACATTGGTATATCTCGAATGGGTAGTCTTTCTGTGTGTGTTTTTATTATTCCTTAATTGGAACCAATTGATATATTGCCGATTTTGTGGTTCGGCGGTGTATCCAGTGTCGGTTGCTCACGGGACTGCCAATACACCGACCTCCCCAGCACCAGCACATCAGCACGCCAGCACCCAGCACCCAGCACCCAGCACCCAGTGCTCAGTACACGCCAGTACGCCAGTACGCCAGTACCTCACTGCCCAGCGCTCAGCGCCTTTAGCAGGGCCCGGAGTACCGAAAGTAGCAGCTTTCAAAGCCCGCATCCCGCATCACATTTCATTTGCCCACGAGGCAAGAGCACGCGGTTTAGATACTGATGGGTTCGCGGTTCGCGGTGTAACCAAGTACGAGCACTGGTCGAATGCCCCCTCCCAACATTTTTTCGGGCTCTACTGCTGTATACTACAGCATTACTTCTGCTATCCAGTTTGGTCAAGGCCTTTATATATTGTATAGGAATTTGTTTAGGTTACAGCATTCACTTATGTCTATCTATTCCATAGTACAGCAGTATTTTGTGTACATACAGTACAGTCTGTACAATAAAAACTGTGTGTGTTATTATTATTCCTTAACCCTTATGTGACTACAGGCCGATTCAGCTCCGTTCTCAGCTCCGATCACTTTGCGTGCCGAAAGATCGCCGTTGTGCCTCGGCTAAGAGCAAAAAACATACATAGAGACCAGCAGGGAGACACAGGCAGCCCACCCCAAAAGCACGCTTATCAGCAATGCGCACAGGACTCACATAGTACAATACTATTCACCCGTGCCTAATCTCTCTGACGTGGGGCAGATATCCTTTCCAGATCCAATCTACTGCCTACCGGCTGTCCAAGATTCAAACGCAAAATACCACCACTGGAGGGTACATACAGCACCCTGAACATGTGATCAACCCGGTGCCGCATCCGCGTGGGAGAGCACAGAAAGCGCACACCGGAGCCGATGCTAACGTACTGCCTCGGTGCTTGATGTTGTTGTGATTGCGGTGCGTGTGGTTCCCAATATTGGGAGTGAAGGGTGGTTCGTCTGCTGTGTACAAAATTTCGCTCAAAGGCAAGGGGTTTCGGGACTACAGCTCCGATCACAGCTCTCTATTTGTAGTACAGAACAGTTAAATCACGATTTTAATGCATTTTGTGCGATAGTGGATGATGGTCTCGATTCTCTGATGAGCGGGCCGTTTTTTTGTCGATCTGGCGCTTCTGTGAGGCGGTTTCCCGTCAGCGTCTTCGCGTCTAGCGCCGCTAGCATTTGCGCTTGCCGTATGCTCTGTCCAAGGATGAGGTGGAGAAGATGTGCCAACAGGTATTGCTTGCACAGGTACATCCTCTGTGCGGATGGTTGCTGTCGGAGACAGGCATGCACACCTGCTCAGAAACTACTGCTGCTGTACAGCAGTCTGTTTCTCTCCGCATAGCTGCTACTGCTGTACAGCAGTAGTACTACTGTACTCCTGTTCGTCACCCTTACATATACCGCGTCCCCATCCCTGTGAGCCCCACACATGGACCCACTGCTGCACCATCCTTGCCGCCGTGATTTACGGGTGTACACGCATGCTTGGAAGATCTTTGACCGCAGAGAGCCAGTTGTGGGGAAAAAAACAAAAAAAATCAAATTAACCCAGTCACGTAAGGGTTAATAAAAACCACATCAACAACAGGTGGCGTATAGGATTTTAGGGACCACGTGTATGTCTGCATATGTTAAATCCTTTTTTCGTGAAAATACAATACAGTATCATACATGGAGGTTTTACAATACCACACTACAGTAGACTGGTACAACCGCCTAAACCCATAGTCTAATGTACGAGGTGTGGTACAATGTCATGTGTGTGTACCGATACCATACATCCACATGCAATAAACGATATGGTGGGTGAATGAAGCACACTAATCCTACTTGCTGTACAACACACCCCACTTTCGATTTGTTTGGTCTTAAATGCAGTTTAGGGCAGTGCTTCCAGTATTCGAATCCGCATGTCCTCCTGCACGAGGAAGACAGAGGTCCACTATTATTACATTGTTGTAGGTGCACAACGTCGGTAGCCAACTGGTTTTGCTACATTCTACCGTCAATGGGATCATGAGAATGTGCGCGGAGTAGAGAGAGATCAGAGCGATCGACACACAGCGGACAAGTTAACTGTTGGAGTCACGGGTACCCAATCGACCAGCCTGCGCGGGCAACCATTTTTTTAGAAAATATACATACAATCAAAGAAAGACTACCCAGGCAACCATCATTTTGTTGACGATGTAGACGATGTATTCGATCCATACCTTGTGGACGTAAAACTGCACTGCCTGTCTCGCGATAGCGCTTCGTCTTTGGCCTCAAGTCGTACATTGTGGAGGAGATACGACAGATGAATGATTGTTGCAGGTCAAGATATCGTGTCTTTATGCAAGTACACACTGCTTTATGCAGAAATGATCTGGACAACGTGCGGTAATTTATCATCGTTCTGAAGGTCGCTGCTCTTCTGATTTCTCAACGGCTTCGGATAGTTGGTGGATCTTTAGCAGGTCGGGAAAAGGGATCCATGAAGGCTCGTCCAACTCTCCACGCACCCAATGCATCGGTACGTACCTCCACTGAGTTCGCTCGTTCTTGGCAATCAAGTCATATATCACCGGAAGAATAGCCAACCTCTGATGGCAGCTCATAGCGGCCACACTCAAGGTTATGCGCTCTCCCAGAGATGAGGATCCGCAGACAGTGGAGTCGACGAACACGGCGAAAAGTGCGACGAATACGTCGGATGCACTCCGCACGACAAAGAACCGTCACCAGAACACAGAACGGCCACCACAAGCGTGGACAATGCTGACACCCAACTATATCCAATCGACACGATTCGGTACGTTTGATTTACCCAGGGGTAGCACAGCAGTGTTTAGTTTCGATATTCCTCGGAGGGTGGCGTTTAGCACGAAAGGTTTGCATAACCGCGGCATATTTCGACACCGACACCTAGCACCAACTGCACTAGCGCACGTTGTCTTGGTGCTTCTTCGTATGCAACAGTAGGAGCAATGCCGACGAACATGTAACATGCGAAAATAGTGCTTTCTACGCCATCGCCTGCAACGTCGCAGGTCAAGAAGTTGATCATCGAGATGTACGCGGCCACCACACGGGCGTCCAACTCGAATATGGTCAAGGATGTCCGCCGCGCCCTCATCCCGATCTTGTACCTCGACTGCGACCGTTGGACAAGCCAAATATCCGGACACAAGTACATTGGTGAGTTAGCCATTGTTGGGAAGCACGCCTACAGAACATCAAAAATAAGCAAAGGTACAAATGAAGCTATTAGGATGAACTTGGGATTGGGGAAGTCGACACGACACGTGCTTGTAAGGCCGGATGTGATGGCGTTGGAAATTTCCCGCGAAAATCTGTTTCGTGTGGGAGAAAAACATTTGTACCATGGTATGTATGAGGAAGAGCCAATAAATAGCGACAGCCTCGGGGGCGGTCCGACTATCAGGAAGGAGAGACTCGTGGTGTGATGGGGTGCGATCGGTCTTGTTTGATCGGTCTTGTTTTGTCTCTGCCGTGTGTATTCTCTTCCCACACGATTTCGAGTTTTTCGTGGCACACGGAACTTTTCGCGGCAGCATCCGGCCTAACTCACCAATTACATTTTGGTTTGGTGACGGCGATTGTTTTGACATTCGTGTCTAGTGGAAAGCCCACCCGAAGAACGTAGGTCAGCATGGCACACACCCTCGTTATTCTCCGAACTGTAGGCCTTGACCTACTGAGTCGAACCCTTTTCTGTCGTGAATGATATGATAATGGGGTATTCTACCAATCAATGGGGTATTCTATCAATCAATGGCAAAAAGCTGCTTTCGTTGATTGAGGTACAATTAGGCGTTGTCGACAAGTCGGGACGCGATGCTATACCACAAGCAGGTCCAATAACGATGGGAGAACACATCGAGCTTGGGCGCGCTCACTAACAGCCTACGTTACGATAGTCGCGCTCGCATCTCGCTCCTCTAAATTTGAAAAACTTCACGCAGGTGTACGCGTGTGCTACATGGACGAGAACATGACCATGAAGTCGTTCGCGCTGGCGACCAAGCTTTTCCGGCCAAAGACGAACGAGAACCAAGGGGTCCTCGTCGGGGCGGTGAAGAAGTGGAACGAGCAAGTCCTGGACGAACACGGCCTGCGAGCCGAGAGCTTCAACGGCGCCGTGTCTGGCTCTGGACCCGAGGTGTCCACCGGCATTACCGGGAGGTTTCGGAGGGAGTTAAGCATCCCCCATCTGGTCAACCGGGCCGCCATCGACGGCACTGGCATGTCGAGCTCGCCCGCTTCCTCCAAGAACGCCGAGTGTCGCGCTATGCTGAAGAAGGCGGAGAAGGTTATCCAGCTCTTCAACAGGTCTACGGAAGACAAGGTGTGTGGAGACCACAACGTCCGCAATCGTGTCTGCGCCGCTGGTTCTTTTGTTTGGTCCTTCAGCCCCACAGGAATATACCAAGCACGCCTGTTGTCCATCAACAGCGTATATATAGCTCGTTTTTTTCTTTTATGGTTTTTCGGGGGAGTTGTGCACTGCTGTGCTTGTTGGCTTATTATTCTACCTTCTTCCCTCCAAAACTTGTTTTCAAGACGATTCAACAAACCCTCTCCTCCGACAGCGATATGTTGAAGTGCCCAGGTCACACCTTGCACAGAGGCGCTCGTTGGTGTGTCTCTTGTCCTTCCACAAGGGCTTATCCCTCCTCTCCCACCCCTGCCGTGCTGCGCAGATCTTGTTCGGCGAGGATTGGGACGACCTGCACACCGGCAAGCTGTCGCAAGCCGTCGTCCAGCGCTGGATCAGCACCTGCAAGATGCTGCTGGCCCTTCTCGAACGATGGGAAGCCCTCCAGGAGTTCTACACGAACAAGAACGAGGAGTTCCCCCTGGCCACGCTCAGAACCGAGGTACGCTCGTGGTCTGTGATGACTTGGTTGAGTGCTTTAGGCCCGGCGAGGCCTTCTGAAAGCAGTGCCATTCAAATACCAACAGTTTCTGCCATGCTGTGCCTCTGCCTCTGTTGATTTTTGAAGTAACACTGATGTGACTCGGAACTATTTACGATTTGTACTTGATGGTGCCCGATGAATGAATGTAGCACGAAGGCCATGGATTAAAAACCGGTTGCACTCTTGTCTGCCCGTGCATGATTCATTTTATGTGCCGAGCCCTTGCTGTCCACGATCAATACATACGTATTTATATGCACGAGAAATATTACCCACAAGAAAATTTATGGTGTGTTGTAAATATTATTTTCTACGCTGTTTACGCTCGGGCTTGTGCGCGTTTGTTTCGTATTGCTGTCATATGTCTATGTTCCAAGGACATCTACTTTGGTGGTGGGCTCATAGTGCTAAATGACCTCGTGGTTCTACCTCTTTCTGCCGCAGACTACACTTGAAGTCGCGAGCTTTTGCCTCGTGTGAATGATTTGATCCCGACCCCGCCTGGTACACGCCAAACCAAGTATCTCAGGCGTGCAGAACAGACTGGATGTACCACCATCAATCGGGCGACACTACAATGTATCTACTCACATTCTGTGCTTGCTGTTGAGCCTATAACGCCACGATACGTGCTGGTGTTGTTTGGCCGTGCGATTCATTGAAGATGTTGTCTTCCCCGCCTGTGTATGCTCTTGCTTCTTTGATAGTTCGAGGAGGTGCACAGTATCATGAGCGCTGCCAGCAACGTCGCCGAGTACTGCCAGGAGACGTACAAGGCAACCGCGGAAGGGGGGCTGACGAGGATCGTTGTCCTCCTCACCGACACCCTCGAGTCGAACGAGACCCTCCGCGTTCAGCACGTCCCGGCCATCGGCGCGGAGGTCACCGACGCTGCTCCGCACACGGATCGACCTCATGACTGCCTCACTGCGATCGGCATGAAGACTCGCGTGGTCTTCGCCACCGCCGTCGCGAGACGGTTCTTGTGCCGCTACGGTTCGACTTGCTTGACCTAGAGGTTCGACGGACGTTGCCTGCGAGGAGATGGTGCAACTGAAATTATGGGGTCGTACGCATGCAGAACGCACCCGCAAGTGCGAACCAATCAAGGTGCAATATTTTGCAGTGATATGGAGTTAGTGTCGATGAAATGGTTGGAGTTGGCTGTCAGCTTGTAGCTGGAAGCTGCTTGTACTGTTGACGACGTGATACGACGGATGATTGATTTCCTGTCAAGAATTATATGTGAGCAAGAGAAGCTGAGCATACTACGCGTGGAGGAGCGGAACAAGAAAAACACCGGACAAGAAGACCAAAAGGACAGCAGAGCAGGGTGGGAAGGGAACACGGGGGGGAGGGAAGCGTCGAAAGCCGGAAGACACAACTGCAGCCGAAGAGAGGAAGACGGAGATGGCTGAACGGATAGAGAGATATGTTCCGGACTGATAATGGTGGAGGCGGCAGCAGGAGTACCAGCCGGACGGATCCCCATCCTTTTTCCGTCGTGTCGCTAACCCCCCCCCCCCCCCCGTTGCAATGGCCCCCAAATGATGTTTTTGTCCTCCTAAGTCGGTCGTCATCCGTTTGGTGTCGTCGCGTTTGTCAACAGTTGCCTATGATGGATTTCTTTGTTGCCCAGTGGACTGGAGCGTTGGGGGGACCTACCTGTCTATCTTCCTTTTTGTTTCCTTTGTCTTTGTCTCTTTCTTTTCTTTATCTCAGGGTCTTTCGTTCTTTCATCCCGTTTGACGGGGGTCGATCGTCTGTATCCCGGTTTTGTTCTCTTTCATCTGAGTAAAACAAAAATCGCGCCTTGGAAGACTCTTCTTCTTATGGGGCTCGTTTTTGTTTTTTAGAAAGGTGTACCCCCGTTTGGGGCCAGTTGGCTTGTGACCACGCAAGGCGTCCGCGTCAGTTGTACCAGTATTATACGGACATTAGAAGGTACTGAGCGGAGACCGGAACGGTTTTTAATGTGAAGACAACAACAACCAACAATACCACTATATATTTATTTGTCATGGAACCTTTCTTCTCCTCGTCGCGCGCTGAACAATATATAGCTGCGCCACGTCAATTACATCATGGATGTTGCGAGGCGGATCGAATGAGAGATTCGATATCATCTGTACCTACTTAGTTAAACCTCCTCGCTCTCGCTGTTACACCTCCTTCCAATCGGCGTTACATCATTCTTCTAACACGTACGTGCGTACATTCATCGTGTGCTTTCTTTGCAGCTGATCCCCCGGTGGTGACTGTGGTAAAAATATGAAGCGGCGGAGGTAGATAACGAAGGCCACCAAATGAATGATGCAGAGAGTTGATGGAGATGTACCACCTCACTCATCAGCATGATAATAATACTGAAGATAGATTGGCTGAGTTTTTGTATTTCTTGTACTCCTGTGTCAAAAATACGATCCCCAACTAATAACTTCCTGCTGTGTCCATCGCCCCTGCTTTTTATTTGTGCGAATCCTCTGTATGTGACATGTGGACGAATTATCTATTTATTAGCTAGCGGTTGATGATCTCATCATGTATACAGCAGTACACGGAACTGACATGACTCTGCTGCTGTACATGTAACATATGCCGACGAAGACCTCTCGCGAAAAATTCGAACATGCCCCCCATCCCCGGTCGAACACCACCCGTGGAGTTTTTCTAGAAAAAAAAAAAAGGTATACTACCGCTCGAACGCGGGAACCAGTACACACCAGAGTACACACGGAGACGGAGAGAAAACACACGCGCCGCCTAGCTCCTGAGCTTCCCCTACAGCAGTAGCCAGTCTACGACAGACCTCTATCTCTATCTCTCTCTCAGTAGTGCGTGTACGCTATGCGGCGCGCACAGGGGAGCCAGCTGCATCTGGAGGAGGGAGGAGAAGTCGGAGGAGTAGAGTGTGCTGCTGCTGGTGACGTGAGCAGCGGCGGCGCCAGCAGCAGGAGTACGGGGGTCGCGGCAGCGTCGGCACCGCAGGCGGCGGTGGGGCAAGCGGCGGCTGACGGAGCAGCGACAACCTCGCGAAGACGACGGCGACGAGAGGCCGTGGGCATGGTGAGTGTGTGTGAGGCCTTCCTGCGCCGGAGGGCTTTTGTTAACTCTGCTCTGTGTGTGGCGGTGTGAGGGAGTACAACACAGATACCAGAGGAAAGAAAACAGAACTTTGCCTGGTATGAGGATGTTGTCATGCTTTCTCGCGGATGAACAACATGGCATCGGGAGGAAACCGAGCAGTGTAGCGTGCTGTTGCCGACGCGACGAACGGTGCTGAAACTCGCCCTAGCCGGCAACGCACGCCGGGGACCTTAATGCCCCGCACTGGGGCGGTCAAGGTTGCTCTCTCTCGGAACATGATGCCCGCGCGCCTTTTCTTGGTCTCACGTGTCTCATAGCTGCAAGTATAATTCCTTTCGTCCATGACGCGAGCCATGGCAGATGTGTAAGTGCGTCGACCATCGTAGTGTTCGCGGTTGGTTGTGTGTGCAGAGCGCATTTCCACCTCTGAATCGAAGCCCCGGGGTGGATTCGCTACCACGCCGCGCCTAATGGCTGGAGCGCTAAGCACCCGACGCGGCACTTGATTCGCGTTGCAGGAAGAGCCGTTACGCGCGCTGGTGCTACTCTGTCAGTACCGCACCTAATTTTTTTGTCCCCTGTGTGTGCTGCCCTGCCTTTGTGGCCAAAATAATTCTTCGTGTCCAACCCCCTACTGCTGTACCTCTTGCTTGCAGCACACCAGTGGACAGCAACATGGTTTGTCTACGCTGTGCTTGCTCGGTGAACAGCAGTAGAGGAACACACGTTGGGCGGGCATCGTGCTGTAAAACACTACAATATCAATACGGATATACTGCTTGTAGTTTAAGTTTGTTTTGGACTCTAAATCGGTGGATAATGATTCTGAAACAAAGGGGAACAACTTGTTACATGAACTTGGACTCGTTGCGCGTGGACTCGTTGACTTGAAAAAAGGAAGAGATTTCGGGGGACGATCTCCACCTCGTTGTTGTTGTTGTTGTTGTTGTTGTTGTCTACGCGTCAAAAGCTGTTCCGATCTCTCTACCCACACACACCTTCATCGGTCCGACTGCTGTAGTACAGCAGTATTAAGGAATAATATAAACACACACAGAAAGACTACCCATTCGAGATATACCCACAGTCGAACGGGATGTGGTGGACTCTTTTCAGTGAGTGGAGGGAAACCGGCTGGGTACTGAACATATTGTACAGTATGTACCAGTATTAATTTTTTTTTTGACGCGGTCGATTCCCGTGGTCACAGGCTGTACAACTTACCCAAGACAGCAGCAGTAGTAATAGTACAATTTGTACCGAAACCGTATCTTGTACCTTGTTGATCAGTCACAATAGGCTTACCCCAACTGTTCCGCGTTTCCATATCCATGGTGTTTTTGAGCCAAACCACAACCGACGTGTGCAATGTAGCATGTACGTACTTCCGTGTTGTTATTGTTTGCAACCCTTTCCAAAATACTCACTTATTTTAATCGCCCATAATTTTCGAATCCTACTCTGCTGGTGTGCTCATCTGTCTGTGAGCAAGTTGGTCTGGGTGTGCAAGGCGACAAGAAGCAAATATACATAGAGTAGAACAAAATAGAACAAAATAGAACACTCCCCCGTCCTCGCACGCTCACGCCGTCGAGCATGCATCCACTGCACCAAAGATGAATACATCAAACAAACACCGCTACCTACTCTTGCGCTCTGTACCAAGTACGTTGTGTATAGGAACGAGCGAGTGCGCGGCTTTCCTTCGCATTCTTTTCCGTGTCTCTTTCAGGGAAGATTGATTCCCCGCTGACTAAAACGCTACTACCATATACTGCCGTTCAACGTGCAAGCACACGTAACGGTCCTGTCTCTCTTCTCTGCCACTGCTGTAACTGGAACAATTTCAACAAATCCACGTTCCCAAGAGCACGGCACCGAACTTTTCAGAGTGTTGCCGCAGGTTGACGGGTGTTTTTCGTTCACTCAGTCGCCGCCAGCGCTGACGTTTTTGGTATCTGCGTTGCTCCCTTACTTGATCGTGATTTGGCTTTTGCGGGAACGACTCCGTTCCCTTGGCCCAGAAGAGCCGTGGAGGAGGGGGGATTGAGCAGCGCGTTGTTTGGACACACAATTTTGCTTGGATGAAAATGCCGGCGATGGATTGACGGCAGCAAGTATCGTATGCATAGCAGGGCGGCTTTCGAGTCGGCCATCTCGTTGAATTTTATCCGAAAGTAGTTGTGCTGGAAACCTGCAGCCACAGCAACTGGGCAGAGAAAGTGCCGTTCAAGAGAGGAGGTGGCAAGTGACGTACACCAGCACAAGGTTAAGGTCAAGTTTTCCTGCACCCAGGGGCCCGTGACGGCGGTCCACAAGCATGCCAGTGGCGCGCTCTCGGGGTTAGACGAACCAGAAGACTACTATACCTTTGGCACAAGGGTTGTTCGTTGGGCGCCGCCCGGGCAGCAACCCTCCTGCCTACGCCGTCCGTCCCCACAGCAAGGGCTCGACAGCGCATACATACCCACCCATCCTCTACTCCCCCCAGGGCACGGCGGGTCGTTACCCGTGGGGGCGGCAGAGGTTGGGTGGTTACGTGGGTACGCATTGCAATCGTATCCTTGCCGTGGGACTGGCCATGGGGCTAGGTTGCTGCCCGGGCGGTGCCTATGGGGGCACGGAGGTTGGGTTTGCCGGTACTGCTGTATGCGCCCAATGAACAACCCATGTCATATCTGGTTTGGAACAAGAAACGCAAGGGTAAATTACTTGTGTTCATCCTTACGAAACGTGATGTAAGCCTGGGCCGGCGATAACCCGGCCTATCGCTCCGTGGTCCCGGCACGGGAGGGATGGGGAGGTCCACGGTCTACTGACAAAGTAAGGCATGCGGATACATGCATGAGTACACCCCCCTTTGGGCCCCAAGCCACTCTTCGTGTTTTTTTAGCACGAACCCTTTGCATCTAGAACACAACTTCAACCAATGTCCGCCGTCTTTGTCGCGAAACCCCAATAACACCGCAGGCGGCGGCGGCGGCGGCGGTGTGTCTAACCTGCTTGTCCGTGTTCGACCTCAAGTGGTGGTCGTTTGGGGGATCGTCGTCGCGAGAGGGCCGAGGTGGGGGGGGGCGGTGGAGTGCGGTCTCGAACTTCCGGTTCTCGGACGGGCCCTTGGGAAATTCGCAAGGTGAGGTCGTTTTGCTGCTGGGGTGCTCGGCGGCATGGAACGCACTTGATGTGTTCAGGTTTCTTGTCCGGATGCTAATAGTGGCGAGCATGAGTATGCCGTGGGCCATGCTTGGCGTTCATTGATCGACCAGGAGGACTTGTTGTTGTTGTTGTTGTTGTTGTTGTTGTTGTTTTCTTCACGTTAAAAAACGCTCCGTTCTCTCTGCCCAGTACCTTCTTCTGCCCGTACTTGGTGTTCTTTATTTGTGTCTTTCCGAACATCGACGGCAGGTTGGGTCGTCCAAGATATAAAGCACTGCTGTTGTAGCGGCTTTGCTTTTCCCAACCAACCCTGGCGGCCACAACAGCAGTTGTTCCACTTTTGATTGGGAGCACGACGCCAGTGTTTTCTCCTTTTTACACCCACAGCAGTCAGCAGTTCCATCGCCGTATCCTGAAGGCGTTTGCTCCACAGACCACTGTTTTTCTGCGTTAAAAAAGAGGGCACCCGCTACCCCGTCCCCGCCCAGAAGAGTGCTTTTTCACACTCTTCTTCTACCGCGGTTGTTCTGTGTGCTTTGAATGCCGTGTGTGCTTCGCCTCGACTTTCAATTCGTGGGTGGTTTTTGTTTGACTCGACAGAGATCCTGCTGGAAGGATCGTCGGAAGATTTGCCGGTGGAGGCGATGCGAGACTACCTCAACGGATTGGTCTACGACTCCGCCTCTAAGAGGACAGAGCAGGTGCCGTGCAGGCAGCGCTGGCGTTTTTGCGCCGTTGTTCATCGTGACTTCGCCATGGTTGCCGCCGTTTCACTGGCATCGTTCTTCAGTTGAATGACTGCTGTAATAGTTTTGTCGGATGTTTCCGGGTGTGAACTGCTTCATGATTTGTGTCATGTCCGTAGTACATACGGAACGAGATTGACTTTTTCATCCGCGATCTTACATGGGCATTCCCGATGCCGGCTGCGACACTCTTACAAACAGCAAAAAGTGTGTAGAAAATAATTTTGGCCCCAGCGGCCCACCCCTCACCTTTGCTACTACACCTCCGCCCTACTTTGCTGGCCTGCCGTCCTTGTCGTGCGTTTTTGGGGTCGGGGGGGGGATTCTTTTTGTTCCTTTTTTCGATTTCAGCTGTCGAACATTGCTTTTATCAAGACGCACAAGACGGCGTCCACGACGCTGGCGTCCATCCTCTACCGCTACGGCATGCGGCACGACTCGAACATCGCCAAGTTCGACCAGGGGGGGACGTACGTGGACCTCGACGTGGCCTCCAAGCAGGTTAGTACAGCAGGACTACCGCAGATGCCGCCCATCGTACACTGCTGTAGCAGCAGCTGTTGTCGTGGCTTGTCGTGGCTTTCCGTTAAGGACGCCCTCGGTTCGCTCGAACGGGGGGGACTGTTTGAGCGCTTTGCTGGAAGCTTGATTGCGCCAGAATGAGGACGTTGACGAACGGGCGAAAGAGGTCGGTTGTTTGGGAACGGTCTCGTGGAGAGCTTTCCCGAGACGCTTCGGTTGGGTGTTTCGCACCCTCGTGGTTAAGGAGCAATCAAGCTTTAGAAATCGTCAACACCTCCTGCGCGAAGTTTTGCATGCGCACGGGCATGCGCATTCCTTCCATTTTTTAACATGTGGGACCCCAACCGTACGTGCCCAAACGTACGTGCATGTTGTACTATGCACCACGCGGATGCGTTTGTTGTGCCAACCAAGCTGCTGCTGTATGGCTGGGGAGGGAGGCGAAACGATATCGTTGACCGTTTGCTTCTCCACGCGTGTTGTGGGGCGGTCTCTTCGTGTTCTTTGCCCCTGAGTCGAGCCGAGAAAAGAGCAAACACGAGATGTCCATGCGGCCAAAGGGAACGGATATGTGACGGCTGATGCCTGCGATTGGAATGGCTTGTTTCTTCCCCAATCTCACCCTAGCTGCAACCCTATTGACTACGGTAAGGGGCGGCGTGCCCTGCTTCGTACTGTAGTCAAGCTAAAAGGGCCGGTGGCTATCACGCAACTGGTGTATATGTACCACTGCTGTATGCACAAGACCGGGCTTGGTTGTCAACCAGCAATAACTTTGACCCCCGTCTTTTGCCCGACGTGCCTTTACCCACGCTGTAGCGGCCCCCCATCAGAGGTTGAAGAGCGCGTGGGAACCCAATGCACCAGCACGATTCATTGCCTACCCCCGCCCATGACCGTAGAATCTCACCCCCCCCAACATCCGTCGCTCTCGTCAGGTTGCGAAGCAAGGGAAGAGAGTGGACATCATGCACTACCACCATGCGTGGAACGGCTTCTACTCCGGCACCTGGGACCAGGCCACGGCGAAGTACGCCAAGATCATGTCGAATCAGGCAGACGTTAACTACGTGACGGTGCTCCGCGAGCCCGTGGCGCACTACCTGTCGTATTACTACTACTTCCTGAACCCCATCAACAAGGTGTGTATTTGTAGAGCATGGCGTGGTTGTTTGTTTGTTGTTGTCGTTGTTGTTGGTTTGTTCACAGCTCTTGCGCCATGTTGCCGAATCGTTTGTGCTCTTATTTACGGGGTTTACAGTTCGTTTGCACTTGGTAACCCTTAAGAATGGGGACAGCAAAATGTGAAGAATCGAGACAAACAGCAACACCTCGAACCACCACCAGCAACAGAGTACTATACGAACAGGCAGCATGTCGATGCTTTCCTTGGACTTGACACTTCGCTTATTTAGCACCGTGTGTTGCTGGTGATAAGTTTTGTAACCTCCGTTTCCGTTTCCACGGCTTGGTTCGCATCAACCATGTTGTGCCAATCGATAGCTTAAACCCCGTGCATGCACAAGACGCTACTTTCGAAGACCTGACCCGACTTCATCCGATATATATATATTTTTTTTTTTGTTCCATCTGTCCCCGATGTCGTTTTGCGTTGATTGTCGACCCTCCCTCTCTCCCGATTTTCTCGCTGCAACAGATGCCCATCGACGAGTACCTGTTGAAGAACCCGCACAAGAAGCTGCTGTACAACCCGCTCGCTGCGGAATTCGGCATCGAGGACATGGCGCAGATGAACCACTTCATCAAGAAGCAGATGCCCAAGTTCAAGATGGTGAGCGGGGGGCTACGAAACGCACATACTCTACCCCAGCAGAGTTGCAGGAAAACAAGCTCACGGGAAACCTACTTCCGTAGCAAAACCACCACCTCTCTTTCTTGCGTCGCTGCGACTCGACATCGAAAAGAGCCATATCGAACAAGAGTGCTGTGTGACCCCACGATACCGCCGCCGTGTTCCACCTCTTTCGCCTTCCCGGACCAGTGAACCGTTTGTGTTTGGCGGTGAACCGTGTGTTTTTAGCGGAAAACCGTGTGTTCCCCTTGGCGGGAACCCCCAGCAGACGTTTGCGGCCATCGCTGGCTGCATTTGTGTGTCGACGTGTCGACCTCCAACCGGTCCATACAGCTTCTACATACCGTACCATGTAGCGATAAACCCCTCCTAGCCCCGTGGCAGTGTTTTCGTAGAATGCACGTTCATGGTGGAACCCCAACCCGGCTGGCCAATGCTAAGCACGGTAATTGGCGACCTTTTTGGCGCTTTCACGAATGGACGGTGAACGGAACGGATGGGTTCATCATCAGGTGTTGTTGACGGAGCGCTTCGACGAGGGCCTCGCGCTGCTCCAGCGGATGCTGCAGTGGGACCCGATCGACATGACGTACTGCAAGATGCTGCAGACGAAGAAGGGGGAGATGAGGTGGGACGGGAAGCCCCTGGAGAACGTTCCCAAGATCTCGGACCTCGCGCCGGAGGTGAGTGAGCTTCTCCGTGCATAGATACATACAAGTATATGCATATTTCCTCCTCTTTTTTGGTTCCCCCCAACATTTTTTTTGTTATTGTGAAGGCAACAACAACAAATGGCAGGACGGGCGTGTGTTTGTGACTAGCAATCAGGTATGGGCGGGGGGCGATTTTGAGGGGGGAGACCGGAGGAGGGGGGGGTGGTGTGTCGAACCGACCGGGGCGGGAAAACAGGGGGACGGGCGTGGGCAGATACAAGGTGGCCCGGAAATAACCGAACATGGAGAGCCATCCATGTGCGACGATAAGGCAAAGAGGAAGAGAAAGTATCATCACGTGGGAGGGGGCGGGAGCCGTAGGGTGATTTCGGACGTTTTGAAGCCGTCGCCGAAGCGGTATTTTTTGTTTCACCACCAATTTTCTGAACACTCAAGCGCTGTCTTCCTCCTCTTCCTCCACTCGCCTCACGCGGGATGGTTCAGCTCCCGACGATACATCTGCCAACTACGACATGGATCGCAGCATGCTCCAAAGGGAGTAGTCTGTCTCCCTCTCGCACGTTGCGACCGTTGTCTCATCTCCGAATGTGTTTTGGACGTTTTGCCTCTGTTTCGTTCTCTGTCGTGTTTTTTTTTCTTGTGTCTCATTTTTTTTTTTTTTCTTGGTATCACCTCGTGGCGTGTTCGCAGATCCTTTCCCACATCAAGGCGAGGACGCAGCTAGACTCGCGGCTGTACCAGGCTGGCACCCTCCTCTACCGAAAGGTGAGCGGTACTGTGTGACTGTTGGCCGCTCATACAGCGAACATGTCGACATGATCCATGCTCTGCTCTGTCGACCCCCGGTTGCATCGTGCGTCTCCAATATACACAGCGTACTGTAGTGCACGCACGAGACGGTGGAGTCGACTCCGGATTCGTAGCTCCGCTTCCACCAGCAAGTGGTTTGGGCGGAGCACTTTCGTTGCACGGAACCAAGTCACGGAGAACTTTCGTTGCAACAACGGAACCAAGTCGGGTCCGCAGAAACGTCATCGTTATTTCTCTCCCTCACAATCTCCCCCAATCTCTGTTTTGTCTCTCTCTCTCTCTGCCTGGTTTCAACAAGCAACACCAAACAACAACTTTCTCCGCCCCCCCCCCCCCCCCCCCCCTTCCCCAAACCCCCCCCCCCTTTTTTTAAACAAATAAAAAAAAAAAAAAAAAAACTTTTTTTCCCCCCAAAAATCAAACAACACTTTCCCCCCTTCCAAAAGCCAACAAAAAATATCCCCCCCCCCCCAAAAAAAAAACCCCCCCACCCCCCCCCCAAATTTTAACTTCTCCACATAAAAATTTAAAAAAAACCCCCCCCTTTTCTTTTTTTTTTAAACCCCCCCAAAAAAAAATTACCCCCCCAATTTACCCACCCCCACAATTCTAA